GAAGAAGAAAATGAAACCCTAGGTAAGATCTCCTCTCCTTGCCTCTTCCTAATTATATTTGATATTATAAACCCTAGCCCCCTAAAATATTGCCAAGGACATCTATTTATAATATTAAATTCGTGAGGGTATTATGGTAAAAAGTTATACTTCAATTAAAAACGCATAATAACAAATCTGCACATCTCCAAGCACTAATGTAACTTTCGTCTCCATTTTTAACCATCTTCCAGGTCGAGTTGGGCCATTATCAAAACATAAAAGTTGTAGCTCTATCTCTTAGCTTAAAAACGCCTCCAAAACCAAGTCAACGGAGTTGTGTAGCTCAAGTTATGATCATTTTCGTGCAGCATGTTCTGGTAGAAAAATTTTCAAACATAAATTTCCCGCATTGCGCTGCGACATGATTTTGTGGCACTACAGCATGAAGTTTCTGTCCATTTTGCAATTTTATGTTGTGGCGTGGGAATAGTTCCACTGGGGCATGGGAATAGTTCTGCTACGGCGAACAATCTTAAAAAATCCATAACTTTTTCGTTTGAACTCCAATTCTCGAACCGTTTGATCCTACACGCTTATGATTCTTTCATCTTCAATGTCCATGTTTGAAATCCTCATTTTTCAGCACCTAAACACCTGAAAATTCACAAAACATACCCGTGATTCTAGAAAATAAAAGAGATACAAAAATTAAGTAAAATTAATCAATTAAACCTAATTCCCTCACAAAATGCCCTTAAAATCACTAAGTATGAGTGCATTTCCAAGCACTCATCAAGAGACATCATGCCTATCTTGATTAGCTCTGTGAATTGATGATTTGTGTCTATGCAAATTGGTTCCTTCGTTGTTTAAACTAGGTTATACACTACTAGCTAGTTTGAATGATGAAAGTATTAGGTTGAACCCGATGATATACGAACCCTAGAATGGAGTGGGGAGAATGATAGTTTGATGATGAACATGTAGCCTGATGATTATGATAGAGTTAGAGCCCTAGGATCCTTTGTAGATAGTTAAATTTAGACTTACTTTAGTGTTGTTTATGTGTTTTTCTTTATTTCAATTCTTGTTGTTTTTATCAAGGCATAGTTACTAGGATCGCGAAGTAGCTCTGGTCTCTATGGGATTGACTCTTACTCATACACTATGCTGCGATTGCGACTCGTGCACTTGCGAAGAATTAAACTTTGTATATCTATCAAACCAACACTTTTCTATTCCAAAGTTGAGTGTACATCATCTTTCACAATACATCTATTTTTAGTCTCAAGATTATGAAATATTATAAATGAAATTAAGAGCTAATAAAATGCTTTGAAGTTGTAGAACTTAAACGGTCCAAGAGTTAGAGAAGATGAAAGATTGGGAAGTTATAGAATTGCAAGGGACATCCACAATTATTCATGACAATAAAAAACTAGTAGTTCAAAATTGTTTCAAATCTACCAAAGTAGAGTTTGAATAAGAAATATGAAAAATTAAGGTTTATATACAAATGAGTGGGGTGTTAAAAGTGTTTATAAAGAGAATAAATTAAATGCAAATTTAGTAGTTACTTTAAAGATAAATTTGTAACTATAAAAAAATTTAAAAGTTGGGTTTCTTTAATTCATCAGTGGGATCAATAGATCCACTTTTCATAAAGAGTGGTTCTATTAGCCCCCCATTAATAGACTAAAGAAGCTTCATTCTTAAAGCATCCAATTTATAAGTTTTAAATTTTTTTTTTTCTTATGGCATCCCATAAATTCTATCAATGCCATTCATTTCATTTTTTTTTTTTTATATATATATATATGAGAGCAAACACATTTCATTCCCTTCTTTTGTGCTATATACCCTTTACCATATTATTTCTAGAACAAAATCTTAGGTATTCAAATTGAAAGTTTAAAAAATAAAAAATCCTTACAAATAATAAAATCGAGCACATAGTACATGTATATAAATGATTAACAAATTTGGTAACATTATATATGCATAAGATACAATAAGAAGGGAAAAAAAAAATTCTTACCCTCGTTATGTTAATAGAAAGATAATAAACAATTCTATTACAAAATTTATTAACATAAAACTATATTCAACATAACAAGAAATCTTCTTCAAAATGGAACGCTCGTTCAGTCCAGCCCGTTCCTACCTTGTTTAATTTCTTAAAAGGCCATTCAATATGGAACGACATCGTTCCTCATGCCCATTCACGGTTCTGCCAAGTTTTCGCCAAAGATGTTCAAGTAGTTCCAAATGGAACAACCAAATAGAACGCTCATTCCAAGCATACTTGAAGACTTAAGCAAAAAGGCTAAAGCACACATCTAGAGATAAAACAATAAGAGTGAATGATCATCCATCGATCAAGGCCATTCCATATGAACGACATCATTCCATTCATTGTTCACACTTTTGGAATCTTGACACAAATTTGTGATTAAAGAATCAACGCCCATTCCATATTTTGGAATGTCCGTTCTAGTCAAAGTCAAAATTTAGGTTTAGAAGTTTCAAGCTCAAATGAAGTTTTGAATTTCAAGTGTTAGAGTCGAACGACCTCGACGAACGCCCATTCCAATAGGTCTAGTCATCTTGCATTAAAACCAAAATTTGGATTTTTCTTGATAAAATTTGGATTACTGAAATAGTAATAGGATAGTTTATTTTGGTAATTGATAGTAGTAATTCCCTTGGGTTCAACATCCGTATACTTACACTTTATTACTTGCACGATTTCGTACACTTGTGAAAATCACAACAATTTTCATAGTAGTAACAATATTATAGTATCATTATTAGCTACTAGTTTAAATATATAGCTAGTATGTGTGTATTAGCTATAAATTATTTGAATTTGTAGTAAATAAAGAATGTGAAAATTAATTTACTATAATCCTTATAGTATGCAACTATAGATATTATAATCTATCCCATGAGTAATTATATTTTTATTACTTATGAATTAAATAGTTATAGTCAAACATAATATTAATCACACCACTAAAATCAATAGTAAATTGGAACTTTCAACTAATAATTTACTTAAAAGAATTCTTCAATCGAGCTAAGAGTATGGGCTTTTGTAAAATAAAATTTTATTTTAAAGGATCTATGAGATTTTTGTCTTTTTTATGATGATTTAAAACTAACACTTTATGAAATATAGATAATTTTAGGTATGAGATATGAGATATTATAAAAATTAGTAACGTTACATATTTGTATACATAATATGCAATGATTACATTAATCTATATGATTAATTTTTTTATTTTTTCAAATTTGATATTGTAGGTTGATGGAAATTCTTAAATGGTCAGAAAAGGTTGATATGATATTGAAGCATTCATATTTTGTAAACAAATTAATTGATAACATTTTAAATTATTAGGATGAAGGATTTTATGAGTAGACAATTATTTGATTGAAAATTACTTTATTAATGTTTTATTTTTTATATTAGAATTGTTCTTATGACGTCATATTATCTATTTAATATAAAATATTGCTATAAATTTGTAATTATTATTAAATTTTGTAATTATAGCAATATTTGTTACAATTAATTTTAATCAAAGAATAAATTATAAATTCTTGATATAAATTATTTATTCCATTGCAAATAATTATAATATTTACCCACAAATTAAAAGTATTCATGGCAAGTATTTTCAATTAGCTATTAACACCCTATGTCCATAGCAAATAAATTTCATATATAGATATGACTTCAATATGTCCATAGCAAAGAATTATAATAGTTAGCTACAAATCAAAAGTATTCATAGCAAGTAATTTCAATGTTTAACTATTAACACACTATGTCCATAGCAATATCTTTTCATATATAGATATGACTTCTATATGTCCGTAGCAAATAATTTAAAATTTATCTATGAATTCACTATATGTGTGGCAAATAAGCTTTTTATTTAGTTACGAATTTAGTGGTCACATAGCTAAAATGTTAATATATTTGCCATTGATATTATTTTTGTAGCAAGAATGTTCAAGTTTTAGTGATATTTGTGTAGCTAAAATGCAAACATAGCCATACGGATTATTCTTCATGGCTATAAAGACAAAGCGTTTACTACAAGCTTATTATTGTTATGGCAAAAACATTTAAGTTTTTAGTTACATATTAATCTCATCCATAACAAAAAATATAAACTGTTAGCTACGTAAGCAGAAAGTTACATGGCTAACTTTTAGCTGCGCCACTTTTAGCTACGATAAGCTAGAAAAAATTGGATTTGTAGCTAAACCATTTAGCTACACAAATTCATATTTTTGGATAAAATGAACACCATTGTTAGAAATGCATAATGTTGTAGTGATTGCTCCGTTAAATACAGTAAGCGGACAACTTTGTGGTTTGTTTGTTGATTTCTGATCGCCGGCACTCCCCAACACCCGCGGCAATGGAAGAGGCTAGAAGAGAAGAGGAGGAAAAGAGAGAAGGGTAATTTCATCTTCACAATAAAAATTGTTGTATTTAACAGAAATTATTAACGAAATATAAGATTGGGATAGTAAAATAGTATTTTAAAAATCCATGAGTGAGAAAATGTCATTAGGCTATTATCTAGGTGAGAAAAAGTCGTTTACTCATTTGTAAACAAGGATAAGGAAACTATTCTGGCCAATTAAACATGCAGAACAAAATGAAAGCACTTTCAATTGAAGAAAAAGATTAAAGCATAGCGTTTTTGGATTATTTTTTTATTTATTGGATTATGGAATCAAATGAAAATTGAAGAAGAACATTCTCTGTTCTCCTGAGATTTGTCATAGTTTTTCCCTTTTGCAGGGGGTAAATATTGGTGGATTAATAAGTTGTACTCTGAAGGGAAGGATGTTATAGTGAAAATGTTAAAAGGCTGGAAAGATAGTTAGTCGGGGCTATTTAGCACCACTCATTTAGTACTCATTTATGCATTTGGGAGGCCACTTTTTTCTGCAACTCATGAAACCTTCCTTGCATTCTCAGGGTTGCAAAATTATTGCACTTAATTTCTGAGTCCGATTATTACATTAAATAAAGTAACAGATTAAATTAGACAGCATATATAATTCGAATTTGGAAGCAGGAGAGGATTTCATGACTATCGTAAATTCTTCAACAGTACATTATTATGTACTGGAATCTCAACGTACATAACTTACACTATCATACATACTTATTAATTGAAAGCTTGGAAACCTTATAATTAAACTTGAAACTCATGTATAGTTTTAAATAGGTTTGATGAGTAAAGAGAGGATTTGCTCCTTAGTATCACGGTCTTGAACTCCAAAACCATCTCCATTCTGGTAAAGACAGTGCGCCACACGTGCAAAGTTTGTGGTAATATTCACAAATGGTTTCAGCAAAGACGATTGGGTGAAACAGTGTCCATTAATACTTGTCCAACTATTATTTATCATTTCTTTAATATGACTCCGAGCTATCTCCTCTGATACATCCAATTCTCTCATATAACACAAGATTGATGAAGCTACATCACCTCTCTCCAGTTCCACCTGTCATAAATTAAATACGTACACTTAATTAGTTATGTTTATTATTACACAAGAAATTAACAGACTTTTAATTGATTTGTATGAAAGGAATATTTAATTATACCGCTGAAGTGCCTAGATCATTGCATAGCCGGATTACTAGAGATGAATTGTACACGAGTTCCTGATTTTTCCTGAGAAATTCTATCATTTCCACTGTGGCCTCATTCATTATTGAGAAAAATGAATGGACAGAAAGCACTGTACCGGATGATGAAATCCATGCATTACTCAAATACTCTTGCAGGGATGGGGTATGTCCATCGTGGTACCACTTCGCTTCCACAAATAATGATTTACAAAATTCTGCCCACTAAATAACATAAACACATAACATTTTTATTAATTGCTTCATAAATAAATATAGTGATATTGACAGGCCAGTGACCAGAAAATTAATTAATTATATAACAATTTGTGTTGGGATCATTTTATGATGTCTATATCATGTGTGTCATACCAGAAAATTAATTAAGAATAAAATTAATAGAATTTTCCCAAATTCATGGACGAGATGTAATACCACTTTCTTCAGTTGAGGTAAGACGGAATCGTTCCAACCCTTCTTCTGAATTTCATAAGCGACTTCGTTAGTAGTGTCATACAGTGCCTGAAAAGATATCTTCATACACTCTGGCAGATGTTCAATTTCCTTGGAATCCCATCTGAATTTTGAGTAATAAATTAGATATTTTGAAAGAATTAAAGATCCATTTCAAATTGTATGGCCGGTTATTCGAGTATTTCCTGATTAAAAAAAAAGATACAAACCTATCAACAGCATTGGTGAAGTGTTTTAGTTGTTGCAATGAACCATAAATGTCATAAATATCATCGATCACTAGTATGAAGATAACGACTTTAGTGAGCCATATTCTAAAACAGCTGAACTCAGTCTCATAAACAAGTCCCACTGCACACATGAAGCTTTCAACCAGTCGATCTCTGGTAAATTTTAATTTCTCAATTAGGCCAAGATTCCTCCACCACCTAATGTCACAAAACAACAAAACATTACTTTCCAATATATATATATATATATATATATTGTAAGGATTATGCTTAAATTTATATAAGATATGTACAACGTACCTGGAAACCTCCCTAAGATCATTTTGGAGTGTGGCTTGAACCCTATTAAAGTTGAGTTTTGCTAACTCCAATAAACTTGCGTTCATTTGTTTTTCCTTCTCGTAAGCGTTCATGTGCCATCTGACTTCAAACCACGGCACTCTTCTGTGCAAAGGAAGTTCCAAAGCATGGGCAACTTTCTCCGCAAGTTCACTATCCAAATTACAACAATGGATATCTTTCAGGGTTCCAATTGAGAAAACTTTAGCCTTGTCCAAAATGTTTTCACCCTCTAAAGCCAGATTTGAGGCTTCAAATAGTTCGATCAATCCTTTCGCATCTCTACATTTTGTCGTTGAAAATGAACCATCTTCATCCATGAAGCCACTAAAGATATCTGAATTACAAACCATCCATGCATTTTAAAGTGAGATTATATGCCACTTAAAAAAAAAACAAAAAAAATCTGTCTAAATTTACAATGTGTAAGAAATTTATACCTTGTGAAATTTCATAGCCATGCTGCCTGAAGAGCCTAAAGCTTAAAGCAGTGGCATAAAGGTCCTCTTCTACACAAGATTTATCATTCTGAATTGAAGCTATGTCATCTAAAGCTTCCTGAATTTCGTCCTCAAAGAAGGTGGACAGACCTAATATCCTGATGTTGTCAATTAGTTCTAGCTTAGCTAAAACGTCTATGACTTCAACAAACATACGTTTCACGTCCTCTTTCAATGTATCAGCCCGGAGTCTATATCCCTCTTCCTGCTAAAACACACCACACAGTTAACCCCGACGTCTAAAAATTGCACATATCTAATTTAGTTAATAAGTTTTCAAATAAAAAATAAGGTCCTGGGGATAAATCAGACCTCATATTTGGTATGAAGGGACTGTATGAAATCATATTTCCAAATGCTTGGCTTATAAGTGGCAGAGTTATGTCTTGGTGGTATAATATCAGAGGCTTCGGACTTCATCTGGCAATACAGATATTGTTGTTGAGATTGAAGCTGCTTCGTTTGATCCAGGATGATAGTTCAAGAAAGTAATATGGAAATTGGATATGTTCAGAGAGTAATATGGAAATCGGAAAGCTGTTGGTTGTTCTTTGGTTTGCATGCTTCGCTATGTTATATACATGTATAGGCAATTGGACAGAAGTTTCGGAAAATTAATTGCGGTAAAGAATGAACATTGACTTGCAAATTACAGTCACATGAAACACGGGGGGGTAAAACTTAATGGTTTTTTTTTTTTTTTTTTTCGCTGGACAGAATGAACAGAACAGATAAAATTTCAATTATGGCTCTTGTCCTACCAGCAAGCTGAAACATTCAAGATGAAAAGGATGGCAATATCGAGTTTCATGGGGCTGGCAGATTATGAAATTAATGCAGGGAGGAAGACAGGTAACCAATATGGAAGCGTATTGGGAGGTCCGGGGTTGGCAGATTATGAAATTAATGCAGGGAAGGAGACAGGTAACCAATATGGAAGCGTATTGGGAGATCTTGGGTTTATAAACGTAGGAGTCCCTTTACCTAATAGGCTAATATTTTGCGTGTAAAACTCTCAATTCGTGATAAGTGGTATCAGAGCATCGTTAAATACCCACATAAGGGTATCCACGTGTGATTGTAGGTTCATATGAGAGTGAGGTAATGGATAGACAGGAGGCTCCACCTGTGATGAGAGCGTCAAAGGATTGGGTGAGAGATAATGTAATGAATCTCATATCAAAAGTATATTGAGGAGGTAGGTAGAGTTTCTCCCCATAATAGGTTCGTTCGTGGTTTAGATGTGAAACTCTCAGCGTGTGACACAAGGTTAGCTAAATATGTGGAGATTATTTTCTCTTCACTGTTCCTTCAAAATAAAAAGATATTTCATCAGCTAAATATGCGGAGACTGGAGAGTATTTTCTCTTCACTGTTTCCACGTCACTGTTGTCAGTCGTCACCATGACTATGATACCTCGTGTTTTATGCTAAATTAACATTAGGTTTACGTATTCAAATTCTCTGTGGCTTAGAGGCCTTGTGCTCGTCCGTTGACGAGCTGTGACGCGTCTTGAAAATTGAAAGTCATTATCCATTTAACTCATACTTCAGCCACGGACAAAATTAAATTGTCATTAGACTGTAAACACCGAGTTTACGTATTCAAATTCTCTGTGGCTTAGAGGCCTTGTGCTCGTCCGTTGACGAGCTGTGACGCGTCTTGAAATTGAAGTCATTATCCATTTAACTCATACTTCAGCCACGGACAAAATTAAATTGTCATTAGACTGGAAACCGAGTTTACGTATTCAAAGTCTCTGTGGCTTAGAGGCCTTGTGCTCGTCCTTGACGAGCTGTGACGCGTCTTGAAAATTGAAAGTCATTATCCATTTACTCATCTTCAGCCACGGACAAAATTAAATTGTCATTAGACTGGAAATACCGTATACTAATTAAAAAAAAATGTCCTAAATTCAAGTTTGCATTTTAATATTGTATTCTAAGTGACATTATTAAATTAGATAATTTTAAAGAATACTATATCCACAACTTTTTTTCACAAACCTTCTCTTACAATCTCGATATGGTAGCTCGTATTGGTCAGCTTATAATAAGTCTTATATAAGTCCTAACTAATAAATTATGGCTGATCAATCACGACTATCATATCGGTTTGTGAGAGAAAGCGTGTGAGAAGAAGTTGTAGGTATAACATTACTCAATGTATAATTATGTAGTTTTCACATGAACCTTTAAATAATAATACGTCACATCAAATACAAAACTTAAAATATAACTTAGGCAATAATGTTGAATTATTGGCGCTTTTTTTTTTTGTTTTTTTTTCCGGGGGTAAATATTGAAAAGAAAAAAGGGGGATTTTTCTCAGAAGAATTCTCCTTTTTTTAAATTTTTTTTTTTTTTTTTTTTTTTTTTTTTTTTTTTTTTTGTAGTGTTTCATTTCCTTATGAATTTTTTATTTATGAAAAGTTTTATTATAAGAATGACTATAAATTGTGTTGTGCGGGAAATGTGAGCAGATAAATCGCCAGTTATCTCGCGATATGAATCTCATAATCAAAGCCGATGATCACGCAACTTGCATGCTTAAAGGAATTTGAGTTTATCTCCAGTTTAACCTTGTAATAAGCACTATATAAATCCAATTATAATTTGTTTTGAGGGGATTCGAAAGAGAGAACTAAGAAAAAAGAAAATGAATCAGATAACTCTTTGTAAATCAGATTGTTGATATCATACATGCTATAACATAACAATGGATGTAGGCCTTGCATTACAACCAGTCAAATTACATTAAAAAATCTCTTCTTGTTTTTTAATTTCTAGATTAACCCTTGCGTATTCATTATTATTTCATTACTGATCCACCAAGATCACACACACATCTTACGTGATTTCAACGATGTCAATCATGCATCTCCAGTTGGTGTAAATCTCTACATCAACATTTTGGCAATAGAATGAGAACCCCCGCAAAAGCTCTTCGTGTTTTTCCAGTAGGTCCAGTTCTAATCCCTGAGAATATGGAAATATAAATCATGGCTCGCACAACCAGATCAAAGGGTAGGACTGAAATCAGTCGCGTCGATAATGTCAACATCAATAATTTAGAAGCCGTCAATGAGAAAGTTCAAATTCAATCTGTAACAAATCTGATAGTTTCATTACATCCAAACATGGCGGGAACTTCCACCACTCCCCCAGCCAATCCAAGTGGTGGATATGATTGGAACATTGGCGACAACGGTCTAGGCCTTGCAATAGCAGATAGCCACCTTACAAGAGACAATGTCAGGGCATCAAAACTCTAAACCAACAGAACATCACTCAGGGGGTGAGAGATGACCTACCCTGGTCAACTCGCATCGCAACTCCAACTGAGAGTTTTGGCTCGATTAGTGACCAAAACCCAAGGCGGAAGAAAGAGCAAAATCCTTTAATGTGCCATGGCAAGTTGCCGATTGAAAAGTGATTGGGAGATGCCTATAACCGGCGTGACAATCATACCTCATGCCATGAAAGGGTTAATTCTCAAAGAGACACCAAGACGCCACAACCAGCACAACGGTTGTACCTCGCACCAAGAAAGGGTAAACTCTCCATCCTCGGCCCACACACAACTCGAGCTACCATAGTACAATAAGCTGGCGCAACGATGGCCACGCAAATCTGTTTGACAAGATAGGAAAATTGGGTCAACATGAACCTAGCAAAGATCTCCTTTCTCGATTAAATGTATCACGGGGACATCTCAGGTCTGTAATAGAGGCCAAACACAATGTCCCAGTAGGTAATTAGCTAGATCAGTTACAACAAATCCTATACGACCTCCAAGCTCACCAAGATGAGCAATATGAGGGGCACTCTTTTACAAGTGGTGCTTCGAGCACCCCTCCCTCCAAACTTCAAGATGTCAAGCATGCCAGCCTTTGATGGGAGAGGTGATCCTAGATGCATTCAACGATCTGATGGAGCTATATCAGGTCTCAAGTCTATCCAAGTGTCATTTCTTGGTTGTCACATTGACTGAAGAATCAAAAAGATGGTTCGGAGGTCTCCCGACAGGCTCAATAAATCCTAGAAGCAACTCGTCATACTATTCTTTCAGAACTTCCAGGCAAACAAGTGGTTCTCAATGCCACTAAATTACATCAGCAATATTTGGTAAGAGAAAGGTGAAATGTTGAGATCCTACCTAGGGAGGTTCAACCAAGAAGGGGGTAAGGTCACTAATGCCTCACAGGAGTTGATCCAAACACTCCTCATCACCGAAGTTTGTCCATAGAACCTACATGTGGAAAGAATTGCAAGTTTAGAACAACGTGTCACTACCTCGCTTCTACGAAATGGTAGAGAAGCATTTACAAGTCTAGGACTCACTAGCTGCCATAAAGCATGGCGATGCCAGAATTTGAGCAGAGCCCTTGCTCGGGATAAAGACGAAAGAAATGAGAAAAGAAGGGATGATCGAGACCAAGGTGATAAGGATAGGTGCCAATCCCCAAAAAGGCAATGCATAGAGTGCAGGGGAGAGCATAAGAGAGAGCCCAGAAAAAATCTTGCATTACTCCCTAGTCATGGTGAATATACTTCCTTGGTTGCACCTCTCGACCATGTCCTAATAGTATTAGAGAGTGCTAGGCTATTCCCAAAGCCCGAGCCGATGACTGAACCATGCAAAAAGCGTGACCCCATGAAATACTACAAATATCATAGAGACATTGGCCACAACACCAACGAGTGTCAAGCTTTGGAAGACGCAGTGGAAAACCTCATTAGAAAGGGTGACTTGAATGATTATATGGATAGATCGTGAGCTTGACAAGAGCAACATGATTGAAGAGAGCAACGAGAAAGGTCTAATGATGTGATTAACATTGTCAAGACAATCTTTTGAGAGTGAAGTTGGGGTAGTCAAAGGGTCGTAGCAAAACTCCAAAGAATGTTATAACCGAGGGATCAAAATCGCCTTGAAGGAGAAACGACTCCAGATCATAGTGGTTTAGAGAACAGAGCCATAACTCGGACCAATTAAGCATAATTACGAATAGCCTCATACTAGCAACAAACTAAATTTATTTGTGTAAAAATGGAATTTATGTTAAGCTTAGCAAAGCTTGTAATTTTATATTCAATTCTAGAAATCTTTTTTTTTTTAAGTTACTTTATAATGTTTGCAAATTGAGTGTTGGTCTAGTTTAAGGTTCCATAACTCAGCGATGACGCTTTAAGAAAGAATCACATTGATGCCTCTACAACTCAAAGTCTAATGGTTCAAATAGGCGATCTAGTTATAACGCGAGGCTCATTCCTTGAGAAAATCACATTTATATAGCTCGATTGATCTCTAAGGGACAACCTCATAACTTGATGATAGGTAGCACAAATGAGCTTTTAGTGAGCCATAACTCAATCGTAGTTCGAGAAGAGCTCCAAACCTAACTCGGTGACTAAGTCTCGAGAAAGATGCACCCCTGAAACTTGAGGACATCTTGAGGGGAGCTTCAAGCCCTAACTCAAAGTGAGGCTACTTGAGAGATGGACATCATCATAACTCAAGAGCTAGGCAGTTGTAAGAAAGACAACCTAGTCGAATCATATTCGGATACGAGAAAGCAAAAAAAAAAAAAAAAAAAAAAAAAAACTAGAGAAAACATAACTCAAGATCAACATAACTATGTCATCACCCACACAAGCAACATCAACAAAATTT